CTTCAAACTGATTCTTCAGGATCCCCTGGGAAAGACTCTGCCCCCTCCTTTCTCCCCAGCAGATGGGCCGGCAGCCTGGTGCCTGGGGCAGGGTGAGGGGGTCTTTTCTCCCCTGGGAACCAGGAATGATATTTGGGCATCTGGGCAGGAAGATGAAGAGAAAGAAGAGTGAGCTCTGTCCACCAGCCCTACCAGCCCTCCAGTGTTCTCCGAAGCCTTATGTCTAGAGGAGGTGAACCATAAATGGGACAGAGGGCAGTAGGGGGAACAGTGTCAACCTGGCGGGTGCAGTGGCTCACGCCTGTAACCCCAGCACTTTGGGGGGCCGAGGCGGCCGGGGGGAGGGGATCACGAGGTCAGGAGATTGAGACCTTCCTGGTTAACACGGTGAAACCCCGTCTCTACTAAAAGTACAAAAATTACCCGGGCGTGGTGGTAGGTGCCTGTAGTCCCAGCTACTTGGGAGGCTGAGGCAGGAGAATGGCATGAACCCAGGAGGTGGAGCTTGCAGTGAGGCGAGATCGTGCCACTACACTCCAGCCTGGGTGACAGAGCAAGACTCTGTCTCAAAAAAAAAAAAGTGTCAACTTCCCCCATCTTGACCACCTCTACTATCCAATTTGTCCAGCCCCTCCTCAGCCCTGCTCACAGCCTGTTCTGAAAGAGGATGGGGGCTCCTACCAATTTACCAGATGTATTTTCATCTTGATGGAGAAGACAAACAACATTATCACCTCCCATCCCTTTACAGAAACCCATGCACTTTTCTCAGCAGTTGAGAGGGCTACAAGGAAGCATGAACCTGTTTAGTCCAAATCTTCAGGCCGGGAGCAGTGACTCACACCTGTAATCCCAGCACTTTGGAAGGCCAAGAGGGGGCAGATCACCTGATGTCAGGAGTTCAAGACAGACAGCCTGGCCAACATGGTGAAACCCTGTCTCTACTAAAAATACAAAAAAATTAGCTGGGCATGGTGGCAGGCACCTGTAATCCCAGCTACTGGGGAGGCTGAGAATCACTTGAATCCGGGAGGCAGAGGTTTCAGTGAGCCAAAATCACTACTGCATTCCAGTCTGGGGTGTCAGAGCAAGACTCCATCTCAAAAAAAAAAAAAAAAAAAAAAAAAAGTCTTCCTTGATAGCAAGGGCTGGATTCCCCCAGATGGGAACAGGGAACCTAGGGAGACAGCAAAGAAATATAATCTCTGAATGGGGGGCTGGTGTGCAGGTTAGGAGTTTGCTAGTCCCTTTCTCTGCTCTGAAGGGTGAGTCTGGGGGCAGGGGGGCAGGGTAACCAGTGTGTCTCCAGCCAACCTAAATAAATCCTTGAATGAGTCAGTGAGTGAATCAACAAATGAAAAAAAAGGCAACATCATGCAGACCCATACACACACCCCTGCCTTTTGAGTTCAGCACAGATGGTACTGCCACCCAGAGACTGTCCAACTAATCGTTTAAGAATGGTCACAAACTCAGTAGTTCATACAAGTCTTCTGGGGAGTTTTAAAAATATTTTAGTGCCCCACTTCAAGAACAGATGGTATCCAGTTATGTCGCTCAGACCACAGTCCTAGGACTTTCTCTTTTTTTAAGAGACATCTCACTATGATGCCCAGGCTGGCTGACTGGCCTCAAACTCCTGGGCTCAAACAATCCTCCCACCTTGACCTCCTGAGTATCTAGAGTTACAGGTGTGTGCCACCATCCCAACCTGGCTTGAAATGTCCTCTCTTGCCTCCTTGAATCTGATTCACAGGAAAGGATTGTTCCTGCTGGTTTATGTTGAAGATAGAGGTGCTGGAATGAGTGCCCCCTCAAACACACTGCTTTGGATCTGTCTCACCATGTCCTGTGTGTCCGTGGCTCTCATCAACTTAGTCTTTCCTATGCCTCAACTGTCTCAGATCTTTATTATCTGGACAAAATCTTGGCCTGAGTCTTCAAAAGAGATCATGCTTTTCCATTCCTTTTTACTTCATGCGTACTGCCTCCATTTCATCATGATTTATTCTTAACTCAGTGCAAACTGCCTTCATTATAGTAACCCTTTCTCAGAGAGCTCCAGTGTTCAGTATCCCTCCTCCAGGACTTCCCTGACATGTTTTACTTTATTGGTCATCAATTATTTTTTGAAGTGTCCCTTCTTTTTGCTTCTGTAATATCTTATTCCACATCTTTGGACTTTCGTAGTCACTGCTTATGTTTTTCTTCCACTGATTTGGCTCTTTCCACTGAAGACTGTGAGGATTCTTCAGAGCTCACACTTAAGCTTTCTTTTTTCTTTTTTTTTAAGACACGGGATCTCACTCTGTTGCTCAGGCTGGAGTGCAGTAGCACGATCATAGTTCACTGCTGCCTCAACATCCCAGGCTCGAGCAATCTTCCCACCTCAGCCTCCCAAGTAGCTGAGACTACAGGTATGCGCCACCATGCCAGGCTAATTTTTGTACTTTTTGTAGAGACGGAGTCCCACCATGTTGCCCAGGCTGGTCTCCAACTCCTGGGCTCAAGTATACACCCACCTCAGCCTCCCAAAGTGCTGGAATTACAGGCGTGAGCCACTGCGCCAGGCCTTAAACTTTCTTTATCTCTACATCTGCTCAAGTTCCACCCATTCCAAAAGTCCCAACTCTCATATCCAGCCAGATAACTCTGAGACCTCCATCCCTGGTTCGTTCTGACACTTCAGCCCCACCACTCACTCTTCTAGCCTTCTAACAAGCTCCCCCTGCTTCCCTGCAGCCACATAAGTCCAGCAGGCTGGAGGACATGCTACCCTCCAAAGCTCTTCTTTCACCCTCTTACCCAGGCCTACCAAGCCAGGTTCCTGGCTACTTCCTCCTATTATACTTTCCTTTGAAATGTTTCAGATACAGCCCTTCCTTTCCATTGCCATTGCTAAAACCCTAATTGAGGCTGTCCTCACCACCACTTGGATTCATTCATGTATTCATCCAGAAAATTTTTATTGAACACCAACTATGCAGCTGGCACTGGAGCTGTATCTGTGAACACAACAGAGGAAAAAAATCCCTGCCACTGAGAAGCTTATAGTCTAGTGGAAAGGGCAGATGAAAAACTAGGAAATATGTTTTCTAGAAAATATTTTCTGAAAATAACTAGAAAATATTTATAATATATATTAGAAGTGTATATTAAATAATAATAAATGCTAAGAATGCTAATAAATGCTAACCAAAAAAAAAAAAAAAGCAAGGAAGTGAAAGGGTGGGTGAGTTGTTATTCATCTAGAGTGATTACAGAAGCCTCATGAGTAAAGACCTGAAAGAAGGGGGGAGCCATTTTGGATGCCTAAGCCTTTCAAGTTGGGGACACAGTGGAAGGATATCCTGGTGTATCTGAAGAGACTATGCAGGCCCTTGCACACCACTGTAAGACTTTGACTTTTATTCTGATTGAAAAGGGAAGCTGTCAACAGGTTTTAAACAGTAAAAAAGAAACAACCTAATTTTTCAACTTTATTTTTAATAGCTTTCTTGAGGTATAATGGACATATAAACTGCAGATATTATTTGAAGTGTACAGTTTGATAAGTTTTGACATATGTATATACCCATGAAACCAACATCACCATAAAAATAATAAACACATCCACATCTCAAAAATTGTCCTTTGTCCTTTGTGTTTCATATTTTATCAGAATCACTAGCTCTGAGAAACATAGCACTGAGCTGTTATATTGAGAACACGCGAAGGGGGACTCAAGGAAAACAGTCAAGAAGCCACTACAGAGGATAGTGACTTGGACCAGGGAAGTAGGTAAACAGTGGCTGTAATGAATAGTTGATTAATCACTATCTCATAACTTCTTGCTGCATATTCACTCCAATTCCCTCTGAAGAGAAATGAACAAAAATGTCGCTTTCACAGGATAACCTCCTCCCTTCAAAAAAGTCCGCTAGCTCCCAATTGCCCTCAGGCTAAAAATTGCAACTCTTTAAGGCCCTGCTTTTTCTATTACCACTCTCAAATCTACATCTTGACCTTCCTGTCCTCTGGTCATTCCCCTCCACGTCCTTTCTATTTCAGCACACTTCCACCCCCTCCCCCAAGTCTAAATTGTGCCCAAAGTCCCACTTTCTCCAGAAAGCCTTTTTGAGGTCTCCATTGGAGTCTCTCCCTTCTCGAATCTCCAGTTACATTTGATGTTAATACCTCAAAGGAAATGTATCCTTTTTTAAGTACCCAGGGCTGGCGGTGTAGAGCTCTCTCGAGCATCCCGCGTAATCCCCAAGTGCGAGGCTGGGCCTATGCTACTACAGGCGCTCGCTGCCTAAGCCTGTCTGTGTGTGGCAGTGTCCTAGTCGTCCTCCCCTCCTCCTTCGGCATCTGCTCTGCATTAGTCTGTCCCAGGCCTCCGCAGGCGCCGATGATTAAATCATCATCATTAACCAGGGCCTGCCCCCCCATCCCCGGCAGCAGGGGGAGAATGGGGGGATAAGATCACTACCAAGTCCCTGGGGGTCTCTCCCTCCCCATCCCCTGGCACCCTCTCCGAGACTCTGCAAAGCCCGAGAAACTCCCTCCGTGGAGCGGGGAGAAGGCCCGCCATCTGGATGAAGCTCCGCTCCGCAGACGCCGACAGGGCGGCATTACGAGGAGAGGACCCAGGAGGGGCTTCTTCAGCAGGGTAGTCGTCACAGAAGACCGACGACCCTGAGCGGGTAGCAGGCACAAGACTGCCGGGCCTTTGGGGGTAGGAGGGGGCAGTCTTTCGCAGGCTCCAAAAGTTAGTCTTGAGGTCGCTTAGGGTCTACTATGATGAGTTCTAAAGGAGGCTGAAGAGATAGGACCCTTCCCTATGCCCCCCCACCACTCCTTAATTACGGATTGAGGAGGGGAGGGGCCGGTGGGGCTCAGGTGAGCACACGGGGAGAAAGGAACGTGGGCGGGGCCTTACAGAGGGTGAGCGAATCCGAAAAGACCTAGAACCTCGTTGCTGGGAGACAAGTCCCGCCCTGCAGGCGGCACCGGAAGTGGCAGGCTGGGATCAGCCTTTAAGATGGCGTCTCCTCAGGGGGGCCAGATTGCGATCGCGATGAGGCTTCGGAACCAGCTCCAGTCAGTGTACAAGATGGACCCGCTACGGAACGAGGTGCAAGGGCGGCAGGGTTACTGCTGTGGTCGGCCAGCGGTGCGAACTGGGGCGGGCTAAAGGACGGGCGGTGGCTGGCCGGGCGCCCAGTGCGCCTGCGCAGAGACAGAGTACCCAGTGCGCCTGCGTGATTGCGATCGGGTTGCCAAACTCCGCTTAGGACGCCTGCGCATTGTGTCACCGACGTTGTGTAGTCTCCCCTGGGAAAGGAGGGTCAGGCGAGTCCACGTGAGGGAAGCCCCCGCTGTGCGCGGAGCCCTCTGCTGGGCGGAGGCGGAGTGCCAGCCCCCTGGAGCTCATTCCCGGCTGATGGCGCAGGACGCGGGGCTTGGCCGTGGAGTGTGATGAAGGAGGCGACCCCCAGAGTGGGAAGGCGCACGGGTTGGGGGCTGAGGGTGGATGGTTGGTGACGGAGGGTGTATATTCAGGAGGAAGTTCGAGTGAAGATCAAAGACTTGAATGAACACATTGTTTGCTGCCTATGCGCCGGCTACTTCGTGGATGCCACCACCATCACAGAGTGTCTTCATACTTGTGAGTGCCTTGGAGACTGCCTAGTTCTTCCAGTCCCTAGTCTTCACCAAGCCGACTGCCAGCTTCTGTGCGGCCTGCCCCACGAATCCAGGCACCCCACCCAGCCCATGAATCCAGTTTCCAGAGGGCCTGAGAATCTACTTTTCTTTTCCTGCAGTCTGCAAGAGTTGTATTGTGAAGTACCTCCAAACTAGCAAGTACTGCCCCATGTGCAACATTAAGATCCACGAGACACAGCCACTGCTCAACCTCAAACTGGACCGGGTCATGCAGGACATCGTGTACAAGCTGGTGCCTGGCTTGCAAGACAGTGAGTGACCAACCTGACTTTGAGGGGCTTCTTGAGGACTAATTGCTGAGTGGCAGCTTGAGGTGACAGGGGCTTTGGTAGGAATCATGTAGGCAGAAGGCCAAAGATGAGGGAAGGACAAAGAGTGAGGAGGGACTAATACTTTATTCTCATATTTCACCTTCTTCTAGGTGAAGAGAAACGGATTCGGGAATTCTACCAGTCCCGAGGTTTGGACCGGGTCACCCAGCCCAGTGGGGAAGGTATGTCCTTGGCCGCGGGAGAGTAAAGCCCCCAGAGCATTCTTCTTGCCCAGTTTTGCTCTCTGGGGAAAGAGGAGTATGGAATGTGTGCCACCAGCCACCTCACTACCCTATCTTTCTCAGAGCCAGCACTGAGCAACCTTGGCCTCCCCTTCAGCAGCTTTGACCACTCTAAAGCCCACTACTATCGCTATGATGAGCAGCTGAACCTGTGCCTGGAGCGGCTGAGGTAGGAGAAGGTCAGGGGTTGCAGAAGGTGACAGTGCCAATGACCCAGAGCCAGGGAGGGTATGGGGGAGAGGCCAAGCAGTGAGTGAGTACCTATCCCCTTGAAGAGAGTGTATCATGGCTCTGGGTGGGGGAGAGGAGGAAAGATAGGGTTCCCTAACCTGTGTCTATTTCCCCCCAGTTCTGGCAAAGACAAGAATAAAAGCGTCCTGCAGGTGAGAAGGGCTGAGGGGAGGGCCTCTCTAAGGAGACTCACCTCCCATGGCCCTTCCCTCACACACCTTGCCCTCTTCCCTCCCCTCCCTGCTCCCAGAACAAGTATGTCCGATGTTCTGTTAGAGCTGAGGTACGCCATCTCCGGAGGGTCCTGTGTCACCGCTTGATGCTAAACCCTCAGCATGTGAGTAGTCTCACAGTTGGTTTCTTGGAGGGGAGAAGGGGCTAAGAAAGGAGGGACAAAGTCTAGGGTGGACCAGGGTAGTTTTTGACCTGCCAGAAAGTTCCTAAAATTATACCCCCATCTCCCTCCTAGGTGCAGCTCCTTTTTGACAATGAAGTTCTCCCTGATCACATGACAATGAAGCAGATATGGCTCTCCCGCTGGTTCGGCAAGGTAAGCCAGGCCATCCTCCCTGGCTTCACCCCCCTTCAGACTTCCCCCAACCAAGCCACAGTCCGCAGGGGAAGGGTGGGCTGAGGGGCCCTTTGGATAATATAATAATACTCCCCACTGACTACTACTTCCTCATTCTCTCCTTAGCCATCCCCTTTGCTTTTACAATACAGTGTGAAAGAGAAGAGGAGGTAGGGGCCAAGCCCCCACCCCATCCCACTCCCCTTCCCTCCCCAGATATTTATGTGAAATGAACTGCAGCTTTATTTTTTGAAATAAAAACTTTTAAAAAGCACCTCTCTTCCTTATTCTTCCTGCCTCACACTCATGCGTGTCCTGCCTTCTTCAAAAATCCTGAGTTTCATTGTGAAGAAGGACCTGTGCTCTATGGCCATGGGCCCTCAATGTCTTGCCAAAGGAGAAGGGTAGAGGATCCCTGTATGTGTGACACCAGGCCTCCCACACCACTCTTTTTGGTGATGGGAAGGCTTCCTCGAGGGGAGCTCTCAGCTGTCCTTGTGTGCTGCAGCATACAGTGTGGGTGCGGGCCTCTTAGGAGATGTCCTAATTCAGCAGTGGTGAGAAGGCTGGAGTTGGACAGTGGCTGCTGCAGGATTGAACAAGTGAGATATTTTAAAGAAAAATCCGAAGAATTGTGTTACAGTTTTATAACTTGGGGGATGGGGACAAAAAGGAGGGAGAAGTCTAAAAAACAAATGGGGTGGGGCCACAGGGATTGTCAAAAGTGGATGCTTGGCTGTCCATACAGAATTCAACAAGTACTTGGGGACCAAGACTAGAAGTCAGGATGGGGAATAAGTAGCTGAGGAGGAGAGGGAGCTGATGTGGAGGACAGCAAGGGCAACTTCAAGGAACAAGAGGGAAGCTGCAAGGCACCAGCTCCATTAATTGAGCAAACATTCCTTGTCTGTATGCCATGCCAGGGTCCTTGTTCTATGGTCCTCTCAGTGGGGTAGCTAGAAACTTGCCCAACTGCGACAGGAACAGACAGAGGCCAAAGCAGAGTTCCGGCCTGCTGCCAAATCTGGGACAAACTGTATGGAGGCGCAGCATGTGTAGCCAGAACCCGAGTTAAAACCTAGGTCCCACCCTGGCTGGTCTGACTTCACAGCTTCTAGGGGATTGGTTGTGCGAAGCTGTTGAGAGCGGAAGGCGCTAACCATCAAAAATGGAGGTAGGGTGGCAGAGGATGGGGCGGGAGGGTAGGGAGTGAGTACAGCAAAGGTGGCCTCAACTGGGTAAGAAAACTCCAGACTTGTGGGAAAGGCCTGAGCTCGCATTGGACGCTCTGGGGTGCCACAGTCGGACTGGCTTTCCGGGAAACCTCCGCCTCTCCGCGCGGATGAAGAGGCTGCAGACGCCGAGGAAGAGCTCGAGTGCGTGGGGCACTGATGGGGATCCGGGTGGGCATACCGCGGACGGCATGGGTACGCTTCTTTCCTGACATGGTCTCCAAGATTACCAAAGCTTCCAAACGTTTCCAGGGAATGCCTCCCCCCCCACTAGCCCCCTCCTCGACCTCCTCCAGGAACACCCCAGCTCAGGGCTCCCCACTCCTCTTCCTCCGAATTGAAGCTCTGTGGGCTTTGCAGTCCGGGCAAGTACGTGGCGGCCAGGGCTGTTCTCCAGGAGTTTCTGCGCAAAAACGAGTTTCCTAGGAGTGACAGGGGAGTGGCATGGGCTCAAGGGAGAGTAGAAACGCTCCCGGGGGCTTTGCAGGGGCCGAGCAGCTGCGGGAGTTGGGGAGCAGTCCGACTTGGTCTCCCTGGAAGGCCCTCCCGTTGGGGCTGGGCGGCAGCTCGGCGTCGAAAAAGCCAGGTCTGAAGATTAATGGGCCCGAGGCCGGAGACCCTGAGAACCAAGTCACGGGACTTGAGGCCCTTGGTGACTCACGCCTTGAGGTCAAGCAGCGCGGAAGGCGCTCTGGCCGGATCTGGGGTGGGGCCCGGCCGAGCCTTGGTCTAGTCTGTCAGCAGCGGCAGCTGCACTGCGTCTCCCAAGGTGGCTGAAGCTGGCCAGCTGCGGGCTCCGCGCCGCTCGTCCCGGGCCTATGGGTCCATTCCCCACTCCCACCCGGACCCCGGGGTCACTCGGGTCTCCGTCTGTGCCAGGGAGGGAGAATCACGCCCAGGGTCCTCTCTGGCTTCGAGCAACTGAGAACGCGCCCGGACGCGGCGCGGCGCTCCGGAGTCAAAGGAGAGGCGGCGGCAGGACCACCCCAGGGCGCTGTCTGCACCCCTGGACGCTCTCGGCCGTGCTGCACTTTCGGGACAAGGCGTCTGTTCTCCTCTGGGGGGCCAAACATTGCCTCTGCCCACCTTCCTCAACCCCGCCATTTCCAGGACTCACACGCAAAGGCGACAGCACCAGGATTTGCTCCAGCCTTTGGCACAGAGGAGGACGGGTCCCTCTCTCAGCCTGGCCAATCATTCCCAGGGCTTGATGGGAAAAAGGACTTCCCTAGAAGTGATTATTGCGGAGTTGCGGTGAGAAAAGTGTCGGGGAGGGCGTCCGAGTTTCCCACCGCTGGCTGCTTCCCCACCCGCACACCCGGGAGGGTGGCGGTGGGCGCGCAGAGATCTTTGCAAAACAATGTCCAGGGCGCAAAACAACTCACAGGCCTGCCGCGCCCCAAGTCATGAAACTAAAATATAAGGATCGGTTCACTCCGCAGTAGCTCTTTTTGAAAGAGAAAACAATCCCAGAAGTGTGCGGGACGGACGGACGCCCCTTCTCACGCTCCTCTGCCTGGACTTTCCTCCCTGAACTCCCACTTCCCTCTCACTCCCGTTCACGGATGTTCCCTAAGGGTGGGGAGGAGGGGGGCAAGCTCTTCTCTGAGATTGTCCTTGTCCACCTCCCCAAGGGGTTATTCTGAGGGGTTACTCCAACCCTCCTACACATTCACAGAATTCAGTGGAATGTCCGGGCCAGGCAATCAGAGACTAAAGGTCGTTTATTGAGCAGGACTCCGTGCCACCAGTGGGGAACTGGGTTGAGCAGGGGCGGCCCGGGGTGGAGGAACCCGCCGATGGGGTATGCAAGATAAGGTGGGGGTAGGGCTGGGGGATGAGAATGGGAAATCTGAAAGGGGAGGTGTGAGAAAGCATCCTTAAGTGGGAATGGGGTGCCTTCCCAAGAGACCGAATTTGGAATGTGGGGATCTCTACAAGGGGAGGGAGTGCAAGGCCCTGAAATGTCTGAAGGGACAATAAAAGGAATCTGAGAAGGTGGGAAACACAAGAGATTGCCTGAGGATGACGGGGAAGGAAAACCGTCCGCCCCGCGGGGCCAGTGGTGAAGGCTGGCCTCCCTGCATCTCTTGAGAAGGATCTTGAACAGGGAGGGTTCCACCCGTGGGCGGGAAGAGGCGAGCACCCGGGATTTTCTGCGCTTCCAAGCTGGGATTGCGGGTAGCCTATAGGACAGCCGAGTAAGTGTCCCCTCCCCAACCTAGAACAAGGTTTAATCTCTTAATCTTCCTCATTAATCACTCACCCTCCTCCTACCCCTCTCTGTGGATCCGGTTTCTCCCCAGCTCGAGTTCCAGTACTGGGAAGAGTCCCCTTCTGTGGCCCCACCATCCCCTGGACTAGTCCCTGGCCACTATGATGACCTTAGAGGGGCCTCTGCTGTCCTGGGCCTCCTCCCTTTGCTAGTCTCCACTTCCATCTCCTCCCCCAAACTCATGTTTGGGAGCTGTCCAATCCCAGTACCTGAGCCCAGCTGCAGAGGGGAGAACCAGGCAGGAGAGATGGAAGGGGCTGCAAGGCACAGGCCCATAAGGAGCTCCGCACTCCTCACAGACACACGCAAGTAATTGAGAGCAGAGGTAGAGACAGACACAAAAGCCACATAGAGGATGTATGAGTGAAGATTGCAGCGTCTGCTTGGTGACATGCCTGGGATGCAGTGGGGCAGTTCCTGCTGCCTCCAGAGAGCCGCTTTATTGCACATTAAGTGAAACCACTGGGATGGTTTCCAGGGCTGAGGCCTGTAGCCCGAAGATCTCTCCAGGACCTCCTCTGCCCCTCACCATTAATAACCATTTAACAAGGTCCTGAGGCAGCTCAGCTTTCCACCATGGCCTGGCTCTGCTCTTTGATCCAGCAGTGGCCTATCAGGCTTTAAGTGTGTTGCTCAGCTTTCCAGGAGGGCATTGTGTGAATGTTGCGGGTGGGGGAGGGGGGTTGTTGGAGTGAGCCCTTTACCAAGAAGACCCTATGAAGGTGCCTTCCCATCTTTGTCAAAGAGTCTTTGGCCCAGGTGCCTTGGATCTCCTAAGCCCTGTTTAGGGAACCCCAATTACATGCTGCAGTTGCCCCAGGGAATAGACAGGTGGACACTGCACAGATGGTGGGAGACGCAGCAGTCTACAAGGAAAGTGACATAATGGACAGTCCAGGAGGGACTGGCCTGGTTCTTCGTGGCACTGTTTTAAAAAGCTAGAAGCACATCAGTTTCTAACTTCCCTGGGCAGCAAAGCTGCAAGCTCCTCAGGAGTGGCAGGGCTTCCCTGCCTCTGGGCTGTCAATCCTCCAACTGTTTGGGGTGGAATGTAGGAACAAAACCCATACCTTGCTGGGTCTCCACTGCTGAGGCACCGCTGTCCCTGAGCTGCCTTCTTCCTACAAAGGAGGGCTGCAGGTGCTTACCCAGGTATGAGCCCAGAACCAGTATAAGTGTGGCAGATAAAACCCAGATTAAAGAGGAATGAATACACCAGGCCTCACAGTTAGCACCTGGGTTGTCAGGATGCCTGTCCCAAAATCCAGTTGGGTTCGTAAAGTCTGCCCTTCAAGTCTCTCTTCTATGGGGAGTGACCCCTCTCTGGCCAGTGCACCTTGCTCCCCTTGGCAGTTTCTGAGCCTCCGCAGGCTGGGGAAACCATACATACCTGAACTATGGGAGCTTAAGAAGAAGAAGACAAAGACAGACAAAATCGACTGATTTTGCCAGTCCTCACTGACAAAGACCCCTCCTGGGCAGTTGCACCAGTTTGGAGTTCCCTGGGTCTTCTCTCCTGCGGCCCGGGTCTCCTGGCAGCTTCTCTGTGTGTTCTGACCTCGTCAGGTGGGGCAGCCTAGAATCCATTCACCTGTGCTTGCTTCTTCGTGGCATCCCCACTACTCCCAGTTGCAGTCGCTCTGCCAGGCCAGGTCCTCTCAAGTGTTGCGCCCCCGACCCACGCAGCACTAATCACTTCCAGCCGCCAGGACCTTTTAAACAACGTTTCTCAGGGGTGGGGTGGGGAAGAGGGAGCCAGGTTAGGAGACTGAGGTCCTAGCTGGGATCAGATATCCCAGCACAGTCAGCCCTGATAGCCTTCCTTAGAACTTTGCAAATCCCCAGCCGCTGGGGCCAGAGAAGGCAATTTTATCGTCTACGAGTTTATGAGCCAGAGCGGCTGCTAGGCGGGGAGTCGGCGGCATACAGCGTCTGGAGGTATGGCCCGGCCTGACTGTGCACAGTGCAGCACCCCGCAGCGCGGAGCAGCCCCGCGGCCCTGCTCTGAAGGGTAGTTTGGTCGGCTTCTGCTCTCCGCGCCTGCCCCAGCCTGCAGAATTACCCTCCCCGGACATCTAGGAGCTCCAAACCCACCAGGGCCCAGGGTGGAGAGGTGGGGACGCAGGAGGAGGGGCACACAGGACTCGGGCCCAGAGCCGGGGGCGGGTCCGAGGCTAGGGGCCCGGATCGGGAGCCAAGCGCTGGGACCCAGGCGGCTGCGGAGCCGAGCGCAGCGGGCAGCGGGACCGCCCCAGCCCGGCCGACCATGAACTCGGGACGCGAGCCCCGAACACCCCGGACACTCTTAAGCATCGCAGACATCCTAGCCCCGGGCATGGTCCCCCGAGCACCCTCTGCACCGCAGCTTCCAGAGTCGGGTCCGGGTCCAACGTCGCCGCTGTGCGCGCTGGAGGAGCTGACTAGTAAAACTTTCCGCGGACTTGACGCGCGCGCTCCGCAGCCCTCTGAAGGTATAGAGCCGGCAAGGTCGCGGACTCTGACTTGGCCTTTTTCCCCACCTCTCTCCTCCTGATTCCCCGTCTCAAACCTTTGTCCCACCCCAGGCCACCCACCCTAATCCGTCCCCTGTCCTCAGCCCACATGCCAGGACTCGCACCTGCGACTTCTCACCTCTCTTCCGTTAGTCCCTAGTTTCCGCGGCGGCTCCGGAAGGCCGCCAGTACCGCAGGGAAAGGGCAGACTGTCGCCAACTGAGCTACCAGTTGCTCTCTTCCCTGTAGGCAGGGCAGTCGCGACAGAGAAAGGCAGGAGAGAAAGAGACAAAAGGCTTGAGCCGCAGGCGGTAAACGACTGAGCCTGCAAGGGAGGCACAGAAAGCGCTGGAAAGAGGGTCGAGTCTCTCCGGGTGACCAAGCTCCGCTCCAAGGCACTCTCTTCTCGAGAGGAGTCAAGGAGCAGAAAGTCCTTGGCGCAGCATTGGACGCGGGACTGCGCACTCTGCCTTTCCTCGCTCTCTGTACCTCATTATCTTCCCTTTTGGGCTCGAGGAGCGGGCTCTGGTGTCACTAAGGAACTGTAAGCCGAATGCCCGACCCGATCCATGGAAGGGCATGATCTAAGTCCTGTTAACACCGCCACGCTGGGTCGGCTGCCCTGACTCTTAGTCGCCTCTGGTGTCACCCTCAACCTATAGCCTGCTCAGCCTGAGGCTCCTAAAAGCCTCAAAGGCTCCACCCCAGAAGGTTTGACCCTGCACCCGGTCCCCTCTGAATCATCCCTCCCTTCCTTCACTTCCTTGCCCCTACAATACGCCCTCAGCCTGCTGCCTTTCGTATCCTTGTGGCCAGCCCGCTTTGCGCCCCCTATCCCCACCTGGGCCTGACTCCCGGTAAGGGATCACAGTTCGGGTCCCCATCCGCCTTCCTGGCTCTCCCTCTACTTTCCCCACCGCCACCGGCCCAACCCCACCCCCAATTTTTCTTTCCAGGCCGCAGCCTGATTCCCGGAGGCTGGTAACTGACCCCCTCCCTATCCCTGCAGGGCGGGCAGCCGCGAACGCGTTGGGCCCTGGCCCTGCCAGCCGCAAACGGCGCAAGTCACGCACGGCGTTCACCGCGCAACAGGTGCTGGAGCTGGAGCGGCGCTTCGTCTTCCAGAAGTACTTGGCGCCGTCCGAGCGAGACGGGCTAGCTACGCGACTAGGCCTGGCCAACGCGCAAGTGGTCACTTGGTTCCAGAACCGACGAGCCAAGCTCAAGCGCGACGTGGAGGAGATGCGCGCCGACGTCGCCTCACTACGTGCGCTGTCCCCCGAAGTCCTGTGCAGCTTAGCACTGCCCGACGGCGCTCCAGATCCCAGCCTCCGCCTCGGACCCGCCGGCCCTGACTCCCGGCCCCACCAGTCAGACGAGGAGATACAGGTGGACGATTGAAGAGAAAGCCTCCGCCAACCCTGGGCTCTGGGGTCCGGGACTCCTCACCTCGTGCTCTGCCTCCTGCGCGAGTTCCAGGGTGGAGGAAGGAGGTCCACTTGGGCCTCTTCCGGCCCACAGTCCAGACGCTCACCTTTCCCGGTTTTTTTTTTTTTTTTTTTTGTAAGTTTGTTTTGTTGTTTGAGACAGGGCCTTGCTCTGTCGCCCAGGCTGGAGTGCCGTGGAGCGATCACCACTCACTGCAGCCTCGACCTCCTTGGCTCAAGCAATCTTCCTGCTTCAATCTCCTGACTAGCTGGGATTACAAACGTGCAGCCCCACCTCAGCCTAATTTTAAAAACTTTTTTTTAGAGAGGAGGTCCCGCTATGTTGTCCAGGCTACCTTTCCCAATATTTTAGAATAAAGTCGAGACTCTGCCGCACCATGCCTCTATTCAGACTCCCGTCATGAGCAAAGAACAGTAAAATCTGTAAAGTGCTATGGAGTCTGCACTTGGCACTGTGCCAGGGCTTTCAAAGCAATGTTTCCTTTAGCCCTTATAGCAACCCTTAAGGTAGGTAATAATTATGCCATTTTTACAAAGTAAGAACCCTAAGGTCAAGTTTTGGACCCAGCATCCAGCCAGCCATCAGGGCTGATGCTTACCAGTCTACCAAGGGGAAGTCACCGGGCCTAAGTGAAAGACAGTGGGGTCTTGGCCCACCTACTCTGTGCCTGGGAGACCTTGATTCTAATCCCTAGGTTGGCCCCAGGGTGATGACATTGCTTCCCTACCCATAGGTCATTTGTTAATGGGTGCCTGACCCTTTCCCCATCCTGCCAAAAGAACCCTCCACTGGGACACAGGCAAAGAGATGGGTGCCCAGAGAGGCCACACCCCTACTTGGAAGCCCTCTGCCAGGCCCCTGAGCTGGAAATGTTCCCACTACGATGGTGCCAGCAGCCAGAGGGTGGAAAGGCCTGGCCCGCTGGGGTGAAGCTTGGAGTAGTGGCCTTGCCTGGTAGGGATTCCAGCCTAACTCAGCCAGTGGACATTTCTGACATTCATTTATTCCACTGGTGATAATCACCCTCCTACAGTATGAGGGGAGAGGAGGGGGAACGCTCAGTAGTTGCAAGCCTTCCCCTCCCCAATGGTCCCAGACCAAGCTCAGGTGTCTTTCCTGCTTCCCTTCTCTCCTGTCAGTCCTCCAGCTCTCTTCAGACTTTCTCCTGCCTCTGCCTACGTGTGACAACCCCACTTTCAAGGAAGCTCCATGGGTTCAAGGGGGGTCAGCTAGGGCCTTAGTTGCAGGTGGAGAGCCCAAGAGAGGATATGCCTTGGGGAGTGAACAAGGCTGGAAGGTAGAAGGGAACCTGGCATTTTCAGACAATTAACTACCATTTATTAAGCAGTTCCAAGTGCTTTGCAGGTATTAATCCTTAAAATAACCCAACGGGACAGAGAATTTTCTTCCCATTTTAAGGATAAGGAGACTGAATCACAGAACCCTGAGGAAACTTGGCCACGTGACAGTTTGCAAGTGGTAGCACAGGGACTGAGTTGTTTGCTTGTCTGATTCAGGAGCCCATGCTCTTGGTCTCTATAAAGGTGACTGATCCTAAAGGAAAGAAGCAAAGGATTTACAGAGAGAGGGGAGGAGAAAGGGCCACAGATAGGAACTTAGGCATTGTACTTTAGAGCATGGTCCCTGGAGGTTTTAGAGAGAGACATGAGACCATTGTTTAGGGTAGGCCAATCTGGCTGTGGGCGCAGGGTGGATCAGAGACTGATAGAGACCTGAGGAAGGGAGTATATCTCTGGCCACTGCAGAAGGTAACAACAGAGAACTCAGGGCCAGACTTGAGGTGGGGCTGGGAGGTGGTCACAGAAGAGGAATCTGCGATTGCCCCAGGGATTAAGGATTGCATGAGTCAATGACAACCTAGCAAATGTCGGCAACTGGAAGAAAAATGGCAACATGGAAACAGACAGTGATCACTGGTGTAGAGCTAAGAATCTGTCAGCCATTATGCATATGCAAAAAAAACCTCTTTGCAACTGCATTGCCCCCTCAGTACTCCCTTCATACCTTCTAAATAATGCCTCTTTGGAACATTTCCAGTAGAGTGATCAACTCTTTCCCATCTGCCCAGCATTTTCCAAGTTTTGGCACTGAAAGTCCCTCATTCCAGGACATCCCTCAGTTCCAGGAAAACCAGGATGGTTGGTCACCCAACTTTCCAGTCCTGGGAACTCAGAACTCAGGCTATTGGGTCAGACCCCTATTAATTAGGAGGGTGAAAGTGGGGCAAAGTGTCAGGAGTCACATGACTCTTGGAAAACCTAGAAGTCCAGGACAGGCTAAGGTACCGGGGAGGGAACATTTACTTGAGAAGCTAGAACAAGGAGCCAGTTCAGCTGGAAGGCAAAAATACCATTGAGTAGTGGTGGGCGGCCATTGTTTGAGAGGCCAGGAGCCCCACAGAAGTCCCAAAAGCGTGCAGGTCCCTGCTCAAAAACGGAAAGCCAGATGAGCAGACCTCTTATGGAACCACTGTAATACAATCACCCCTTGAACAAACACAACCACCTATGCCCATCCTGCTCCCCAACCAGGGGTGAGCAAAGAACTCTCACGGCAAATCCTTCTAGTTAGGAAGGTAGGGTCCAGTCAAGTTAACTGGCTTTGAGTCATAACCTCTCTCCCCATTAAGGTTTCCCAAATTCTCGCCCAGCTAGCACTGCCACCTCTTACACTCAAGCCTTGGACAACAAAACTCAAACCTGTCCCACCAAAATGGCCTCTGGATCAAGGTCTGCTCAGCTAAGACCTCGAATAGTGTGTATCAGGATCACTTGGTAGGTTTATTGAAACACAAATTGCTGGGCTCTGCTCCCATGGTTTCTGACATAGAAGGTCTAGGATGGGGCCTGAAAAATTGCATTTCTTTCTTTTTTTTTGAGAGGAGTTTTGCTCGTTACCCAGGCTGGAGTGCAATGGCGCGATCTTGGCTCACCGCAACCTCCGCCTCCCGAGTTCAAGTGATTCTCCTGCCTCAGCCTCCCGAGTAGCTGGGATTACAGGCACGTGACACCACGCCTGGTTAATTTTGTATTTTTAGTAGAGGAGGCATTTCTCCATGTTGGTCAGGCTGGTCTCAAACTCCTGACCTGATCCACCCGTCTTGGCCTCCCAAGTAATCTCCCTGTAATCTCCCCTGCTGGGATTACAGACGTGAGCCACCGTGCCCAGCCTGAGAAATTGCATTTCTAATAAGTTCCTGGATGATGCTGATGCTGCTAGCTTAGAAACCACACTTTGAGAATCACAGTCCCAGAACTATAGATTTTGTGAATTTCAGTACCAATTCACCCATACTCCTCTCTTCCTACTGTGGGAAGCATGACTATGTAGGACAGTTGCAGACAAAAACTGGTTTATTTAGCACCCACTATGTACCAGGCACTTGGGAGGTATTTTCTCACACTTTCGCTTTCCATCCTCACAATATCTCTTATGAGGTAGGGACTACCCTCATTTTTATAGACGAGGGAACTGAGGCTTAGATGTTGACAGACCCGTCCAAGGTGACTCAGTTGGTAATGGTAGACTTCATCCTGCTACACAGTATTTAAGGGGCCTAAACCATAAACAATTCTTTAAAATTTGCGAAAGTCACACATAAAGGAGATGTTTCAATACCTCCTCTCTCCAGGTATGAACAGTATTGAGCAAGACCCATAGGGCAGCAATAATCATTTATCCTGATGAATGGTTCCTCTGTGAAAGGCAAGGGGCTTGGGGGAGAGCTAAAGCCTCCTGCAGACCCACATTTAAATGAGCTGACAGTCCCAGTAGGACTACGGAGGAACCAGCTAGGGGAAGCTGCCAGGATCTTAGTGGTGAAATTAAAAGGAGATCATGATTCTTACACAGGAAGTGGTGAATTCAGTTGACCCTTGGAAAAACTGAATAAATTAACATGGGGAAAGGCTAATTACAATGCCCAATGGTGGGGTAGAGAAATAGAGTGGCCAAGGTTGTAGCAGCCTGGGCACCTGCTGAGGCCCCATTCAGCAGGAGAGCCACCAGTCAGGAGTGTGGACATGTATGGCCCTACCAGCTCTAAGCAGGAGCTGGTAAGAGACTTCCCAAATGCAACCCTTGGTGAATATTCTAGCAGTGAGAGGAGGTGAGCACCAGACCACTGAACAAGAGAGGTCAGAGTCATACACAGCTATCTGGACAGGAAACGGCATGAGGAGCTGTGAGCAATCTGGGGGCTGTGGCTAGAAAAACAGGGAATGAGCTGGGGCTGGGAAGAGGTGAGCATCTATTAAGCTGAAAGGTGGGACTCAAGACCCCTCAGCATTGTGATCCTGTTCCTGCACACCAAGCTCTAGTTGGTGAATGAGGCCCCCAGGACCAAGAGGAAGAGCAAGGCCCAGATGCTTTCTCACTGTCTCTGTTATAGCCTAAAAACCTGAACTTTCCTATAGTTCCCTTCTTGAGCCTTGTTGGGTTTTATTTTTCCTTACTGCCCCCAGAAGAAGCCTTCTGCTTGAGAACCAAAGGATGTTTCAATGGATGTGGGGCTCCTTTCTCTCATCAGAAACTTCCCCATGGCAAGAGGAATGACTGCTAGGGACATCATTAACTATGGATCTAGAGAATAAGGTCTCAAAATATGCAGTGAAGTGTCACCACACTATGTCTCCCGCCATGGGATGTATACAGGGACTGGTGCCCCCTCATCTGGCCTGAGGTAGATGCTGGAGCCCAAGTCCCAGGATGTCCCAGCCCTTTGAGGAATCCTGGGGCTGGAGAGGATGGGGCCTTCTACTCTGAGTCTGGGAGAGGGGCTGGCTGGGGTGGCTTCGGTGACACGGAGGATAATGCAAGAGTGGACACAGACCAGGGGACCTCGGAGCAGTGCTTCGAGGGCACCTGAGGGAAGGTAGGCCTGAGGCTCCCAGCTCAGCATGGGGAAGTGGCTGGAGGGCCCCAGGTGACAGAGGTGGTACACAGATTCCTCTTCGCTGACCCTGCTGAGAAGGGAGAGAGAAGGGCACCAGATCCTTCTTCTAAGCAGGACAGCCCATGCCTCTCATTCCACCCATCCTTCCCCACCCCCTCCTTAGCCACCTGAGGCTTGGTATTGCAATCCCAGCCAATTCTCTCCGATACCCGCCTCAGCATGACAGTGGGCCTGGCCCCCTTACCAGTGTGAGTTGGAGAAGGCAAGAGCGGAGCTCTCGGGCTGCATCAGGCTGGGACCCACCTTTCAGAGTCTCCTGAAACACAGCAGCTGCCTCTCTGAAGCGCTTTGGTCCCAGAGGGATCAGAAAGAAAAGATTAGGTGTCAGTTTGGAAAAGTACCTTTTCCAAAACTGGCCCCTGCTCCTAGTACCACACCATTGTGACATTTTGGTACTAG